CAGCGGCCACAGCGCCAGCGGCGTAGAGCATCTCCCTCGAGACGCCGTCGTGCACGTTGCCCTTCGCCAGCAGCATCGACCCACCGGCCAGGCTCACCGTCGAATAAAACGCCACCGCGTAGTCCTCCGTCGACGAAAAGTCGCTCCGCACAAGCGCCACAGCGGAGCCCGACACGCTCACAGCCCCACGCACAGACACCGCGTGCTCGCACAGCAGGAAGTCGCTGTCAACAAACGCCACCACGGAGCCGCCGCTGGCAGCAACACTGCCCTCCACCGACACGCACAGCCCCAGCGCCGTCTGCACCGACAGCCCGTCCACGTACAGCGCACCGCACGACGACAGCGCCACGCCGCCAACAAACAACACGCCAACAGCGTCGCGGAACACAGCCGCCACCTGCGTGCGCGCAATGGTCAGCACGCTCCCAGTCAGATTCACGTTCTGCACCACAAGGCACGCGGAGGCGTCGCCAAGGCCGTGGTCTCCGCGGTACGCAACACGCTTCTCTGCAATCAGCACCGAGTCCACCACAGTGACGCGCGAGCCCGGCGGAAATCGGTTCGCCACCAGCACGCCGCCGCCGGAGCGCGACTCAAGCCCGCTGATCAACACATCGACGCGCTCGCCAGCAGACAGGTCGGACCGCCACCCAACCACGTACAGGCTCGCTCCGCGCACAAACAGGCAGTTCGCCAGCGTCACGTTGCGCACGCTCCCTGACATCGACCCCACGTCCACCACGACGTCCGCCGAAAAGGTCACGCCAACGTAGCACGCCACCGACGTCCCGACACCGGCACTCACCTCCACATCCACACGCACGTCCCGCACGCACAAGTCGGCGCCGTCGGTGCTCGGTGGCTCGGAGACAGCGACGGGCAGGCACGCATCGCCGTGGCCACCCTCAGCGCACGTGCAGGCGCAGCCATCACTCGAGGCCGTCGTCGTGTACGCAGGGAAGCACGATGTCGCAAGGGCGCATGGGTCGCTGCAGGTCAGGATGGTGGCATTGTACACGGACGGGATGCTGTAGTACGCCTCCTCCTCGCCGTTCACAGTGTTGCACGCGGCCACAATCGCTCCGTTTGTGAGATCGCGGGAACTTTGAGGTATCAGCAGCATCGTTGGCGAGACCGTGCTGGACATGAATTGGTTGCGGGACACAGACACCGTGGAGTCGCGGAGATTCACTTTGGGATAAAGAAAAGCAAACGCATCCGATGAGGATTCACGGCAGAGGTTGCCGCTCAACTGCAGCCAGGAGTTGTAGTAGATGTTGGAGGAGTCGCTTGAATAAAACACAACCGAGCTTCGCTGCATCTCGTTGCCCTGAAACACAACCGCTGACAGAGACTCCACGTCTAAGGTCCGAATAAGTAACACGAAGCACTTCACCGGCCTCGTCACAGCGTTGCCTCGGATCACCACGGCAGAGTTGTTCAGCACCTTCAGCGATGAGGAGTATCTAGACCCTTTAAGATATATCAGCGTACCGTCACCGCCAGCCATTTGAAACGTGTTGCCCACCACCGCAAACACGGAGTGCCAACACACGCTCAGCGCAGACACAACGATGTGAATGGCGCTTGACGATCCCGCCACGGTCTGAAACACATTGCCACTCAGCACCACCGCGGAGTCGTTGCTGATCACCAGCTCATTCATCGCAACACACGACAGCCTCATAATGTCCAAACCCTGCCGAGGGATCAGCCTCGTGACCGCAAAGTGGTTCCCGCTGATCGTGATGTTCGTGTGCGGTGGAAACACACCCTCCGGACTGAGCAGCGCATCACCAAATGTGTTGCCGGTGACGACGATGTTCAGCGACCCCACAGCGGCGTGCACGTTGCCCAACAGCAACAGCACAGCGCCGTCCCTCCACGTGCATCCATCGAACGTGACATTCACCACGTCGCCCGTCATCGCCCCTATCAGCACCGTCAGGCTCATGCCGCCCCCGCTGAACGTCACATTGCGGTAACACAGCCACGACAGCCCGTCGCCCACTGCCTGCGCAACCTCGGGGTACACCATCTCGCTGATGCACTCACCAACCGACGGCGGTGACGGCGGCGGTGGTGGCGGCACTGGCGGCGTGGGCGGTGGCGGGCCAGCAGGCACAGGCGCCGGGACGCACACATCGCCGTGCCCTCCAGCAGCGCACTGGCAATTGCAGTCGCTGACCGCCGCCGTCAGCGGAGCAAAGCAGTCGCCCTCCTTCGTGCACTCCCCGCACACCGCAACCGTCGTCACGTTGGTGATGCCGTTCAGCTCCAGTTCTACCGCCGTCGTCACCAATCGTCCCGCGACCGTCAGGCACCCAGCAACGAACCGGTAGCCGGCGTCAGCCTGCGATAGCAGAGGCACCGACAACCCCGTCGAGCCCATCGTGCAGCCCGTCAGCGTCACCACACTGCTGCCGTCGATGTTCACAGTAGTTATTAGGGAGTAATGAAACATCGCACCCACACCCACGTCGTTGTCACGCCAATCCAGCCAGCTTGAATGGCGAACGGTAAAAAAGCCTAGTGAATATATGGCGTTGGACACGGAGCCGCTGTTCCCCACCACGCGCAACACGCTGTGATCCGACACGCTGAATCCGTGGCGCAGATAAAGAAGGCTTGTCCCGGAGGACATTGTATTGTTGAGCAAAGCAAAAACGGAGTGGTCACTCACACTCGGCCTGCACACGTAAAACATATGCATGTACCCAGCGAAGCTGCAGTACTGCGTGTACAGCGAGCTGCCATCCAACAGCATCAGCGTCCCTGTCGAGTACAAACCATACCCACCGTACATCGTTGCACGCGCCTTGACGTTGCTGACCAACAAAGAGGAAGCACTCAACACGACGTTCATCAGCAAAAATACGCCGAACTTGTTCCTCCTAGTGTCAAGCAGCTGAACCTCGGAGGACTGCACCGCGTCAACCTCCGTGACGGCAATGTCGCAGTGCTGCGGAAGGGCAGCTGCAAACAAAACAACGGAAGACCGCATTACAGTCTGGCTCACGCGGATCAGGACGCCGGCTGACTCGGCCGCCTCAGCACCACCAACAAACTGCAGCGCGGCACCCCCACGGAATGTGCACCCAGTGAGCGTGATGTTGATGGGGAGATGCAGCGGCATACTGTCGAAGGAAAACGTCAGCGTGGCACCCACGCCGCTGAATGTCACACCCACGTAGCAGTGGTGCGTCTTCCACATGTTCAGCGTAACGTTCGTCAGCGTCTGTTCCACCACGCAGCTCGTGTCGCCGTCGACGGCTCTCTCCGCCACGGGCGGCACAACCGTGTCGAGCACCTCGAAGGGAAGACACGACGCGCCATGCCATCCGTCCTTGCAGCTGCACGAGCACGAGCTGCGGTCCACCGACTCCGTCCCGGGCATGTAGCACGCCGCGTCGTCGTTGCATGTGCCACACCTGAAAACCTCCAATTCCTCCGGAAACACACCGTCGTACGACACCTCCTCACCGCCCTGCAGGTTGCACCCGACCACAAACCGCGCGGGTAACGTCACGACAATGCTCGATGGGAGAAATTTGGCGAAGGAAACACTCGAGTCCACCTGACGGTTGTGTGCAAGCGCCACAGTAGTGCCGCTGCCCGACAGCTGAATTTTGTGCTGGAAATGAGGAATATTTAATACCGAGGCTGCACTCACGTTGTTGCCCTCCACACGCCACTGCGCACCTCCCTCGAGTGTCACCGAGCCATACAAATACGACAGCGCAGAAGTCGAAACCTTCGTGCTGCCAATAAAGGTGCAGTCCGCCACTCGCAGCAGCCCCGCGGTGCCCACGGAAGTATCCCCAAAAATGTAAACACCATTAGCAGCACTCATCGTGTTTTCCTCAACGTCAAAGTAGCCGCCGTTCCTCACATCAATAGCATTAACGCAAACAGATGATTCCACACCCTGATCCTCCTCCGTTGTGATCAGCGTATTTCCCTTCACAATGACCCCGCCACCATCAACAGCAGCATTGGAAATATACAACGCGCAATTACTCCCCTCCAAGTTGTTGTCAAGCAGCAGCAACGTCGAGTTCACACCAAGAAAAAACCTCACAAATAAAATGGCGTAAGACGACATCGTCACAAGCACACTGCCCACCACCAGTATCTGGGAGCTCACGCCAAAATCGCCCTCAAACACCAACTCACCAGAATCCAGCATCGAGGATGTCACGCTCACGTGCACGCGCGCACCAGTCCCCCTGATCAACAGGCCCATGAGGACGCACTGCAGCATCGTGATGTTGAGTGTCTGTTGTGGTGCGTCAAAATACGACAGGTCCAGCAACATCGGGGCGGTGAAGGTCACGTTGACAAGGCACAGACCACGCACACCGGGATCAGGATAGTCCAAAGAGTCGATGCTGCCACCGTGCACGCAGCGGACCTCCGTGTCCTTCGCATCGGGGAGCGGGAGCGGCCCAAGACCGTCCGGAACCGCAGCTGGCAGACACGTTTCACCGTAGCCGCCAGCAGCGCACACGCACTCACAGCCGCTGATGCTCCTCGTCCTCGCTGCAAAGCACACGGCGTCCACCGTGCACGCACCACAGTCCAACACCGTCACGGGCGTCCCAATATTAAGCTCTTCTTGGTAATCCGTCACAGGTGAGCCTATTGCCTCGTTGCACACGCCGTAGATGGTCGGGCGCGTGTCGGATGGTGGTGGCCAGTTGCTTGTCATATATGCAATGGTAGACGAGTACAAGCCGTACGTGAACTTGTTGTCAAGTATCGACCACACACTCTGATCACAAAACGCAACGCCGTAGTAGTTGGTCACGTACACGACGTAGGCGGTGCGGAACTCGTTGTCGCGGTGCAGCAGCCAGCTGCCGCCAGCCACGGTCAGCGTGGTTGCCATGAGCATGGCAAAGCCAAGACGGAAAGTGCTGGACACAATCTGCAGCACGCTGCCGCCAGCCACAACAACGTCCCCAAACACACAAGCAGCTTCGTACATGTTAATGCTCGGCGCACTCCACAAGCTGTTCTGTATGGAGAACACAGAGCCGCCGCTCACACGCAAATCCGACGCAAGAGCGTAAATCACGTGCATCTGCGACCTGACAGCGCAGTTGTCCAGGTAGAAGACGCTGGACAGGTTCACGCCAAGGCCGCGCTCCACGAGGATCGCAGCGCACAATTCCCCGCCACACACCAGCGTCGACCGCGTCATGACAAACCGCGTCGACAGAAGCCGGACGCCGTCCAGGACTAGCGCGGGGCCGTGCCGGGATCCCGCGTGGCCAGGGGTCGTCGGCACGTACTGCGACCCGCCAACCGTCGCGCGCAGCGTTGAGTTCGCCACCAGCACTCTCGAGTGCAGCGGCATCGCGCCATGCAGCACGATCGTGCCCTCCAGCGACGTCACGTTCGTCATGTTGACGAAAGCGTGGGGCATCAGGCGCGCCGTGATCTCGCTGAGGCCGCCAATCCGCAGCTGCGACCCGCCCGCAAGCACGCAGTGGCGCAGCGTCACGTTCAGCGCGTCAGCGAACGCATCCATCAAACGCAGGTCCACCGCCACAGTGATCGGCCCGCTGAACACCACCGAGTCGAAGCACGTCGTCGCACACCCACCGCCAACCGTCACGGACTCCGTCAGCGTCACGCCACTCACGCAGCCCTGCGCACCGCCACCACCGGACCTCGCAGGCGGCACGTCGAACGGCAGGCACGCCTCGCCCACACCGCCGGCACGGCAGCCGCACACGCAGTCGGAGAACGACGCAGTCAGTGCATCAAAACACGCCAGCGCTGCCGCACAGCCGTCGCACGGCACCACGCTCACGGAGGGCAGGCCGGCCATGCGGTAGTCGCCGCTGCTCTGCAGCACACGGCCGCCGGCACGGTTGCACTGCACCGACACGACGCCGCTCGTGATCGTCAGCCCGGAGACAAGCGTCGCGCCAGCGGCAGCGCAGCGCGCAATCGACACGGCGCCGCCGCTCAGCGTCACCCCCGACAGCGACGCCACCGACGACGCCTCGCCCACCGCCCACACGTCGTGCATGTCCAGCCACCCGCCGCCACCGATCGTCCCACCGTCGCAGCGCACCAGCGACGACGCAACAGACCCCTCGACGCCAACGAAGCGCAGCACCGAATCAAGCACCGCGAGGCGCTCGCCGAGCACAATGCCACCGCCGCTGCTCACAACCGACACGTTCGTCACGGAGAAAACCGAGTGGCTCCGCAAACTGAGACGCGACGAGGACGCCACATGCATCGCGGACGCGGTCGGACCGCCCGACGTCACCAGCGACACGCCGTCAAGCACCACCGCGCTCGACAGCAGTTCCACACCGCCGCCAACGTACACCGCCGACCCGCCCACGTGCAACGACCTCAGCACAGTGTTGCTCACACGCAGCTGCGTCTGCAACAGCGACGTCGCGTACAGCAGAAGCGGCGAAGCCACCGCGTCCGTCAGCCCACTCAGCTGCGAGTAGTGCATCGGCCCCGGCGTCACAATCGTCGAGTCGCGGACCGTCACGTTCGTGTGTGCCGGCAGGTTGTGCACAAACACGAGCGAGCAGTAGCCGCCGGACAGCCCGCTCACGCTCACCTCCAGGCTCCGGTCACTCGCCGGCTCACCGCTGTAGCCCCGCACGTAGAGCTGCGCACCGCCGTCGCACACGCAGTTCCTCAATTCGATGCGCAGCGCACCGGGGAGCATCGCCGCCACGTCGAACACCACAGCCACGCCGTTCGTGATGGACACGCCGTCCATCAGCGCCGTGTCCACGGCGCGGCCAACCGTGATGGCTCTGTCCACCGTGCCGCCCCGCAGTCGCAACACCACCGCATGCACCGCGGGCATCCACGCCGCAGCAGCAACCAGCGCCAACACCAAAAGAAGCGCCACACGCACAGCTGAAATGGCCCTGCTCCGCACACGGTGCCGGCTGCGCGGACACGCACCCACCGCAGACCGCATCCACCGACCCAGACACGTATCAGCAGGGCTCTCGTGGTGCGTCGCACTCGCCCCGTCAACCATTCCTCCTGTCTATCAAATCCCTTTCTACAGATGGCAAATCCAGATACACGATTCCGATAGGTCGTTATCCCACTAATTATAAACCTAATACTGCGAGTAATCCCTAACACCTTAAAACGATAGTTGTGCTGGTAAAGCAAAAGTAACTCTAACTGCACGGTCAGAAAAGGAACAAAAGGAAGCAACCACAGTAACCAAACACAGTGGCACGCAGAGGCATCCGGCCACACACAATCCCAAACACAGTACAAACCCCAACAGGAAACCGCGCAGACGCAATCAATTCAGTAGCACCATCACCCTCGCACCGCCAGCGCAGCCCCACACAGCCGCCGTCCCAAGTAACAGGGTCCCGGCAAAAACAAACATGACCACTGGCGTCGCTGGTGTGACCAATGAGTCGGCACTGCAGAAAAAACAGCGAACTCATGCGCGCACGGCATACACAAGAACAAAATGAAGAATGAAGGAGCACAGCGGCAGTACGCAGACACGGGGAAAAAGGATCCACATCAACTGCACAGTCCGATTCGCTCGCAGCCGTACGGATGGTGGTCGCGCCGCCGCCGCACTTTGCGTGTGTGTGTCTGCCGTGGACTGAGAGGGGGATGAGACGAAAAAGAGATGCGGTGCGGTCCTCATCCATCTCGGTTAACTGTGACACCAGTCACGCCATCCCGTCAGATTACCTGCAGCCAAGACCGTCACCGTCAGCAGCGGTCGGTGCCTTCTCTCTCCACCGGGCGCCGTCACGCGCCTCCTCCCTCACCAATACAACGGGGGAGCAGCAGCCACACGCAACTGCCAGCACCGAGTACAAAAGAAGAATCCACCTGCACTGCAATGTGTGTGTCCTGCGCGTGTGGTTGTGTGTGCCCACTGTCACGCGAAAAAGAAGAAAAAAAAAAAAAAAAGAAACAAAGCATCTGAAGAGACGCACAAACACAAATGCACAGCAGAGGCGCATGTCCAAAGAAAGAAGAATGGAAGGGCTGCTCAAACTCAGGATTGCACTGCAGCCCGATCAGCGGCAAACCACAGAAGATTTATTCAAAACAAAAGAAAACTTTCCCTAGCCACCCCCTTCTTATATAAACCCCGTCATAAAAAAAGAAAAAAAGAGCTTCCTCTATTACTGTTCCACACAAATTTAAAAATAAGAAGAAATAAAAAAAGCAATAATAATAATAATAATAATAATAAATTCGCCTGGCTGCCGTGTGGCCACACCGAACCGTCTGCATATATTTTGCCCGCAAAATAAAATTAAAAAAATAGTTGCATGTCTTTCAACCGTCCGACCTCCATGTGTCCGCACATCGTTTATATTTCACGGGGTCATCTGCGTGTTGCTGCTCCCCTCAGCCCTTTCATCGGCGCGTGAGTGCGGCCCGCAGAGCTCAGTCACTCGTGTGTGTGGAGGGAAGTGAGAGAAGCACGCAGACATGACGGGAGTCGCGTCTCCCCATCGGGAGAGTGAGCGCAGCAAAAAAAAAAAAAATCATCATGAGAAGGGGAGAGAAATGCTGACGGGACTGCCAGCGCGTGAAATGCACACAAAAAGCAAAAAAAATCCCTAAAAACCGACAGGGTGTGGCTGTGTGTGTGTGTGGCGCTGCGGGTGTCTGCCAGCCCTGGCAATAAAAACAACAAAACAAGAGGGAAAGAAATGTGTGCTCCGCCCCACAGGCCCTCGTCGCACGCCCACACGTCACGGCTCCCTCAGCGCGCCGTTCGTCGCGGCCCCTCCTCATGCGTGCAGCAGGCGAGGCGCACAGGGCCGTCGTCATGAGCGTGTCGGTGAGTGTGCGAGTGGAGCAGTTGGGCGGGAAACACACGGCACCCCTCACAGGAAGAGTGCAGCAAGAAACAATAAACAAAAGCAAAAAAAAAAATCCATGGTGATTGCCCTAAGGCAACAAGCAAGATAAGAAAACAATTTAAAAAAAGAAAAGAAATTGTTCTCTGCGTAGTAAAATTTATTCCTAGCGGTGTGTGTGTGTGCGTTGGTGAAGGGGAGGGCGCAAGTGTCCCACGCGGCATCCAATCACTCCTCAAAGAGCCACAATGCCCCACAGCCCCAGCAGAAGAAGCAGCAACAACACCCGAGACACACACACATGCACGGTGCTGTCACGGTTTAGACCCATGGACAGCAGCTCCGCAATTTCCCCGGTGAAGGTGTCGTTGTCCGAGTGTCGTGCCGCGCCTTTTGTTGAGGGGATCCCTTCGCCTCCAGGCGTGGTGTTTGTATTCTCCGGTTTGGTGTCGACCGTCTGTGGCACCTCCTTGCCGTCTTCAAAAGAAAATTCGCTTCCTTCATTCCGAGAGACGTCGTCGGTGTCCTCCGCGGATGTCGGTTCGGCGTCAGTCCTTGAAGGAGTGAGGCTGCTGTCTGAGCCCATTGTTCTCTCGGAATTTCCGTCCCCCGCCTCGAGGCTGAGGCTTTGCTCCGCGCCGGTGGTTCCGGTTCCAGTGGACCGCACGTCGTCGTTTTCAGTGGCAGGCTCAGTGCTTTGTTGCACTTGGTGCCCACTGTCAACTGTTTCGGTGGCCGTATCCATATCCGATGATGCACCCACTGAAGACGTTGATCCGCCACTCCTGTCATCCGCTTCTCCCTCCTCCTCTGGCATTTCTTCATCATAACTTCCAGAGGACATTTCAACATCGGTAACCTCCGTTAATTCCGCTGGCTGTGGGTCTTGTGGCTGCAAGTCTGAACCCCGTTGCACCGATTTATTCTCTTCACTCAGCGTGGCTTGCTGGGCCGTTTTGCCCTGGTGAAACTGGGCATTGTCATCTGGACGATCATTCCCTGCGCTCTCCGCTGCGATGGCAGGTTCAGGAACAGATGATCCCGCGACAACCGGGGAAGGAAGCGCTGCAGGCACCGGATCATCGACGCCGTTTTTTCCTCGTTGTTTTTCAGGATCATCCTCATTCAATTTCGCATAGCTGGCGGTGATTTCTTCACTCTTTGACTCGGGAGCAACCGAAACGTCTGTGCTGGTCACCTGTCCTGTGGGTTGTTTCTCAGCGCCAAGTGATGGAACAGTGACTTTGCTGGCTTTGAGTTTATGCAGCTCATTATTATAAAGATCGTCGTTGTACAGCATGACGTTGGTCACCGTCACATGGCCGCCCGTTGCACTTTGGTCATTACTGTCCCCACCGATGTAGAAGTGTGAGATCCTGTGGAAGTCGAACAGATGCTTATTATAGCGCTTGCGGTCAATTTCCCTCTGATCCACAAAGACAGTCCATTCATCAAGAGTCATTCGCAGTACCACCTGATACGTTGTGTGTGGCTCCCACCCAAAAAGATCCTCCACATTACCAGAATTCCCAGATATGGCCAGCCACTTCCTGTCATGGGTGTACGACAGACCAAAAAGCACCGTGCTGCTGGTGTCATTCATCCTCACGCCAATCAAAGGAATGGGGCTGCTGTCTTCCTTCGGCACCTCGTGGATGGAGACCGTCGCCACAAGAGTGAACTTGCTGTTCGCAAAGTAGTACGGCACAGTCTGCCCCATGTCGCCAACAGGCCACTCCGCCCATGATCCGGGTCCTTTGAACGTCAATCCATTGGGAACTTCTCTCCTTTTTTCCGCTGGGCCATGCACTGTTGCATTCACGCCGAGGTACTCGTCTCGCCACTCGGTCCCAGTTGAGTTACCAGACAAGAAGCCAACAAGCCTCTCAGTGGGAACAGGACCATTGCACATGCCCTTTGTTGCCACCGAGTCAACAGTGCCGCTGGAACTGGAACTGCATGATTCAAAGGCGCTGTCCAAATCCTTCCATGTCTTCACCACTTCCTTTATCCGCTCCAGTTTCCCGGTCAGACGCAAAGCAACAAGATTGTATGATCCGTCGCTCTTCTTTTTCTCGTACACTGAGATCAACTCCTTATTATTATCTTTCATCAACAGCGAGCTGGCGGCGGCGTCATCATTTTCACGGGATACCGGCCCAACATCATACACACGTGCCTTGTCCGTCACCCAAAGATGGAGCCGACCCTTTCCACCTTTATTTTCCTCCTTCGGATACACCGGCGCGGTGATGAGCATCACCTTCTTTTCCTCAATGATTGCGGTGGTGAATCCACTCTGGACGCCGTCCCCTGTTCGATTGTGTGAGTTGCCCCACACGCGGGTAATTGGCTCACCCGACGTGTACCAATTGCCTCCATCCTGAGTGGACCTGTAAACGTCATAGTAGCCTCCAGCACAATGAGCCATCATGAAGAGCCTTTCGTCGTCCTCGTCTTCTTCCCACCTCACCAGGGTTGGATCCCTGCAGCCGTTACCAGGCGTCTCGAGTGAAAGCTCCCACTTGTTCCCTGACTTGGGGAAATGCATAGACAGTAAAAAGCTCGTTCCATCCTTGTCTTTGGCCTGCATGGGAAACACAAC